GTGTGTGTGTGTGTGTGTGTGTGAGAGAGAGAGAGAGAGAGAGAGAGAGAGAGAGAGAGAGAGAGAGAGAGAGAGAGAACAGGTAGGTCTCCAACCTCGTGGCTGGCCTCATGGTACGTCCATCGATAGGATGAACAAGATCGAATGAATATATTGCTAGAACATGGAAATATACACTGTACACTTCCACACGTGTGTGTGTGTGTGTGTGTGTGCCCGTGTGTGTGTGAGAGAGAGAGAGAGAGACACGCACACACACACACACACACACACACACACACAGAGAGAGAGAGAGAGAGAGAGAGAGAGAGAGAGAGAGAGAGAGAGGCGTGGAACAAGGGGAGGAACACTGACCTTAGCCAGCGTACTCTGCAGACGTCCAAGGCGGCGGCGGGTCGCAGTAGCTGAAGAATGCACTACACGGTGGATTGCAGCAGCGGACACGACATGGTGTGCAGCCCTTTTTTTACCGCGGGGACTTGGAAAAGTATGGGGTTGGAATGCAAATTCTTAGCGCCTCCCCCCTGGAGGGCATCTCAGGAAGATGGATTCCCCACAGAAGGGCAAATCGGACAGGCAGCAGGGGAAATAGGACCGTCGGTCCCGCAGGGGCATTCCAAAAAGTTGTGCCCCTCACTGACAGGGGTCTGCTCGAAAGTTCAGAGGCCCAGGGGCAAATCAGGGTTACTCGGCCGTCGGAGGGGCAAATCGCAAATTAATGCAAACTTCAAGGGCATTTTAAAAAATTTCCATTTTTTATTTCTTACTTTTAGACGCTCCATCTATTGGTGGGGAGCATCACCTGCTCGCTGTCTGTGGAGCAATGCTTGTCCTTTTTGGGTACGATGAGGTATAGCTCGCGGGCGGAGATGGGGGCAATACGAAAGTTTGAAGTCCCCAGATCAAGATGGATTCTTTGACATTTTCGATGGATTTGAACTCTTTTCTTCGTTACTTTTATTTCGCTTTTTTGTAATCTCTCGGTACGATGCGGTTTAGCTCTCGAGCGGAGATGAGGGGAATACGAATGTTTTTAAGTCCCGCGAGGCAGATGGATTCTTTGACGTTTTCGATGGATTTGAAGTCGTTACTTGCAATTCACACAGTGCGAGAGCCCGACAAGCATGAGTATGCATGCGTCATGATGTACGGATAAATCAATGCGTTTCCATGTGCGTCTCTGTATTCTGTGTGTGTGTGTGTTTGTGTGTGTGTGTGTGTGTGTGTGTGTGTGTGTGTGTGTGAGAGAGAGAGAGAGAGAGAGAGAGAGAGAGAGAGAGAGA